GGACTAAAAATTCACTAGATAAGGACATCAAGCAGGCAGAAGAAGGAAACATCAAACTTGAAGACAGGATAATTACCTAGTGTGTGAAGCAGAAAAAGAGTGAAGAAAGGTGAACAGAGCTTAAGGGAACTGCTGTTGCTGTTGTTGTTGTTGTTGTTATTGTGTACCCTCAAGTCAGAACCCACTCATTACCTGATCCTCTGGCAGGTTTTCAGAGGCAGCTAATTGTACTGGAGGAAATTGCCCATTCTTCTCCCACAGAGCGTGGGCCTTCGGGATTCCAGGACAGCTTTTTGCCACTAGGCCCCTTTAAGGGAACTACAACTCATTAAATGGAATAGTATATGCCCTGTGAGAATCTTAGAAAAAGGAGAGAGAAGGGGATAGAGAGAATATTTGAAGAAATAATGTTTGAAAACTTTTAAGTTTTGTTAAAAAATTAATCTATACATCACAGTGGACTACAAGTAGTACAGACTCAGTAAGACTCACATCAAAGATACATCATAATCAAACTACCAAAACACAAATATGTAATTCTGAAAGAAATCATCAAAAATATTAAGAACAGATTTCTTCTTAGGAACCACAAAGGCCAGGGATATTGGAAGGATGTCTTTAACATGTGAAAAGACAACAAAAATAATCACCTTCAACCAATTCTCTGTCTGGACAAGTTGTCAAACAAATTAAGGCATTCCGCATAAACAAACGCTAATGGAGTCTGTTACCTCTAGACATGCCTTACAAGAAATACTGAAGGATAAAACGAAAAGGATCTCAGGCGGCTCTGGTGGCATAGTCACAGGAGATCACACTGCCACCTCAAAGGGGGCCCCTCTCTAGCAATTCAAAGCTACCAGCTGCTTCTCTAGAAAAGGACATGCAAGCTCCTCTCATGCAATTTACAGCCTCCAACAGTCTGCTAGTGGATCAACTATGAGTCGATTCTAACTCCACAGCAATGAGAGTCAGTAACTCAAAGTGGGATGAGGAAGTTATTGTAGATTGCCGTCGAAGCGAGCACGACTCATAGCAACCCTATGACCAAAAGGCCTGAAACTGTTATATAACTATCATCATTTCTCAAAGTTCACAGTTTCCAGAGACAGGTTGTTTACGAAGTGGATGAAGAAATAAAGATCTCTAATAAAGGTACTGACTTGACAGCAATAAGGTACTTTTAAGGTTTAAA